TCTAATAGGGAATTACGCGATACGGTCAACAAACTATATCACGAAATTGCTTATGCCACGAAAATACCTTCCTTCACCCTACATTTTTTTTATGTTTATATATAAACTTCATAGTATAAAAATTCAATGCCACGTTTGAGTAAAATATACGAGAGCAGTATAATAGTTTTGTAAATGTTACATTTAAATACTGTTTAGTAGATTCCTAAATGTCTGAAGACTGAACAGGTTTTCATACATTGCAAAAAGTTCAAAAAGTTTTGTTATAAAACCACAATTGTTATGCCTTGTTTACATGAGACGAGTTCTCGGCCGAGCGAATAGAAACTGTTTCTATTTACTAGGCCGAGTAATGTGCCTGTGTTGTTTAGATGGTCAAGTACTCGGCCGAGATCACTGTCTCGGCCAAACACTCGCCACGTATAAACAAGGCATTATTTTGGGCAAGAGATTTCAGTTTTTATGTTTGGGCATTGTTCCAATTTTTATAAATTAAATCCTAAATAAATTCCATTATATTAATTTCAAAAAGAATTTCGGCATCTTTCTTAATGTATAACTCTTTTTAGATTTTTAACATATTATTGTAATTCAACCTTATGAACGTTACGTATAACTATGATCTTATAACTGCTTTAAAATGTGTTTACTTACGACAATTATGTGTAATTTAACAATTTTTATCTTAAGTTGTTTTTTTTAAATTTAAAACTAACTTTTGTTTTTTTTTTATAAATTTGAGGTAAATAATTTAGATAGCTGATAGGTCGTCCAAGAAGTAGTTAAACTGTTTTGTAAATAACTCACTAATGGTTTTAATAAGGCAGTTTGTAACTTTATGAATAATTATGATAGTAATTTGCGATATTCTTGGACATTTAATCTTAAATTTGTTGTGTATATATTAAGTTCACCTTACTCAACGAAACTTTACAATTGTAAATAAAATACATTATTTCAGCTATAGTATTTTGCCTAGCTGAAATTTACCAATAACTTTATCGTCATTTTATGAAAAAACTAGATGAAATGAGGAGAAATAATCTTTTTATAAGTAGGTATAATATCTTTGTAATTATTGAGTTATCTAAAATTTGTACAATTTAAAATTTGTAGTAAACTTCGTCATTTGCACAAAACTCGCCATTATAAGAACTAATAGTCTTTTCTATCATGTTTCTTTATTATTAATTTTGTGATAAATTAGTAAATATTTATTTATCATGTGCGTCATTTAAATTATATAAAGGTAAAATAATAGTTTAATATTATAATTGAATTAATATTAACATTGACAATATTGAAATATATTTGGCATTTTTCTTATACTTCCTATGATTTTGTGAGTCTTAACATTAAAACCAAAAGTTTTAGTTGGCCCATAAACATCACATTTTAAATAATGATTTATTTACTGTGTAGTTTTTGTTATTTTCCTAAATCCTATTTAGTTTCCTTGTAGGTGCAAAACATATTGTACTGACGTAAGTTCTCGGTTAATGGTTTTTGTATTGTAAATAATAGTATTGTAGTAAACAAATATTTTAGCGTAACACTGTAACGTATACAGGGTTAAAACGGTTAAATATTTGATTATTTTATTTCTTTACTTTAGAACGTTATGGCTTAAACATTTTCCATAGATATTTTTCTGGGCTATTTATTCCAAATACTAAACAAAATATATTAAAGCGATTAGTAGTTACTGATATGATAAAAGATAAATTATTATTCTTTGCTAATGCAAAACCCTAATACAAAAAGAATTTGAAGGTTAATTTGTTGACAATGTTTCTGGACAGATTTCTCGTAATTGAAGAATATAAACCACAATAAAATACACTGTTATTTTCTATGTAAAGTTATTATTATCGCATTACAATAAACAGCTTTTGATTTTTAGAGTTATTAGTTTTTTTACTAAAGATTTGGCTTCAACATTAGTCATTAGCCGTTTGCATATGTTTACATATGATATATTTTTAGATAATTACAATAATGGTGTTTATGTATTTTTTATTAAATTAGTGTGTTGTATAAATTGTATTATTATGTTTATGTTGTCAGCTAGTATTTCTTCGATCTTGTTTGGAATTTCATACTGGTGCGCTTTTCTTCGTATTCCTCGTATTCTTCGATTATGTGTTTGATTGTGAGGTGGACTAGGCAAGTTTTTCAGTTGGGTTTTTCCTCTTTGGTTATTAGGTGCAAGTGTGTGAGGTTTGAGCGGCCAATTCGAAGTCTTGTTAGGCATGCCGATTCTCTTCTCGGGATGTGAGGGGTTGCGTTCCATTTGTTTATAGATGTTTTACATGTTTTCAGTTTATTAATTCCTATGTTATCCCATTTATTTTACCATTTGTTTGCACATAGTTCGTTTATCAGTGTTTTTGAGTCAGTATATGGAACATTAAGAATCAGTGGTATATGTGGACTGTGGTTTTGTTGCTTTGTCTGCTGTTTAATTTTGTGGGATGTTCGTATGAGTATTACACTCATCTAAAATTCTATAACCTTACATAGAATCAGAGCCGGCCTTAGGTAAGGCGTAGCTAAAGGCAGGTTTTTTGCGAGTGATTCTTTTAAGCTTTAACGATCTACTTTAGTTTACTTTTAAGAAGACGCTACCAATTTTTCAAAAAAAAAATAATTTAGAGTTTGAACTATAGTGTATACTTATTAATACAATAATGAGGATACATTATTAATTGTCAATTTTTTTGTCAAATTATCACAGTCATTTCTATAAGTTAAAGTATAATTTTTTCCCATTAAAACTAATTTGCGCGGGACAAGTATGTAAACTTTATCTATGGGATAGCGTTTTATACTTATCTATTTTTTTGTACAATATTCAAATTTTTATTATTTTTATTATTTGCTCAACTTATAAAACTTAAATGTCAACGTATCTATTCAATTAGCTTTTTTAATTAAGAATAGCGTACTGCAAATTTTGACTAATCGATAACCAGTTCTGAATAAAAAGTTTGGAAAACTTGCGTAGTGTCAAAAGAATCACCCGGTATAATACACACTATTTTTTTACACTAGACTTTTTTTTTTAATTAACAATTTCTAAACGTCGATATTTTTTTTATTTTATAAGAAGTTTCCAAAAGCTGACACTTGTTCCTTTAAAATACTTATAGTTTTATACATTTGTGTTTTTTCAAAGAGTTTATTTAAAGAATTTCTTATTTTTCCCACTTCATTGACGTTGGTTAATAATTGGTCGCAACTTTGTGTACAATAATCTTAGCCAACAACAACAAACTTTATTAATACATTGGAATCATTCAAAATATGGGCTATACAAATATTTATACATATTTCCTACTTTAAGGGCGTGATGATCCTCGTTTTGACGGAAAAGTGGTTATTTTTTTTCTATTTTGGCTTATAAATTACAATCAGTGAATGAGTTCTGACCTATAAGCTATGTATATAAAGAAATTATTCAAGTGATTAAAATTGTATAATGGTTTTAGACACGAAAATATACTCGCCTTGTAATACCAATACCTCCTCAGCTTTAAATTTAAACTTAAATAGTTATTTGATAGAACTGTAACAACTTACTACAAGGTAAAGTATAGTATATTATAAAATATTTTACTTTTTTTAAAAATAAAAAAACAGTATTTTAGTGTCTAATCGCAGGTGTGCTCAATTTATAATTCGTATAATGTGACAATAATAATATTATGTATGACATTTAAAAATCCTACTAAGATTATAATGTGTTTTTTTTTTTTAATTATAGAATGGGATGAAATCAATTTGCTAAGAGGAATTTGTTTTATAAATGTTATTTGTTTATAAAAAAATCATCAATGTTATGAAGGCCTATTTTTTAAAATTTATTTTAGATTACGTCATTTTCTTATTGGAAAACATTCACTTTAGGCACACTTTGAAAAATCATGTCTTGTGATTTATTACGCTATTAAGTATTGACCAACCATATTTTTTTATTGAATTCACATGTAAACAGTATTTGAGCAATATTTGACTTAAACGATTCATTTCTAGTATAATAATATTATGGGTTGCACCAATTCTACTTAAAATTTGAAATACAGTTTAACACGCAGCTCTATTATAGTTGAACTACCCTTAAATTTTAAGTTTGGGATTGGTCCAAATAAATAAAAGTGAGCGAACTAATACTACATATTATTTCAAAGGTATGAGATTTTAAAATTATTATTTAATTATAATTGGTATTATATGTATGTATAAATTAATAAATATAAAAGTCGCGTCTATTCTTAACTATACTGCATCTATAACACCCACTCGAATTTGAGCCTTTGTCGTTTTAAGTCTAATGTAGAAAAAGTACAAGCGTATGAATTAGACGCTCAATTAAAAAAACATTTTTTTAAGATTTAGACGTTCTTTGTGAAGCAATACCGCTTATACCTATTCACGGTTCGCACGAGGATTGCTATATAGACCGGGAACAAAAACAAAAAGAACTAGTTTGTTCGAGAACGAGTTTGAGGGTTTTTTCTTAAACCAAAAAATGAGAACTAGTTTTTCTTCTTTTTTACACATCCTTTGACTGCGACACTACACACACACACACCCAATGTATACCCAAGCGCTGTGTGGTTTTTTTGCTTTCATTACCGTAGAACAATAGACCGTCCCGTCCCGTAATTACTCAACCCTTTTTGGGTGACCCTTTATAAAATGTATTCTAGTTGCACATGTAGACACGTTAATTTATTATTATACAATATGCAAACCACGTACGAGCAAAGGCACAATCAGGTAACCCGTAACGCACAATGCCGCCACAGCCACGCGTGGACATAACCGGTTGCTGCTGATTTTCGGTGTCGTTTGGAGGGTTGGTCAGGCGAAATACACTGTTGTTCACACGCAACTGCTATTATGTATTACATGTATGTACTGTTCTCGTGAAATAATCCGTACCGCCAAACAATTACGCTGTACGTGGCCAGTAGGTGTTTGACAGTCGCCAGCACACCTGGGCAGACTTTACTTTAAGGTGCAGTAAGATACAAATTGTGCTGTAGGAAATTTAAAATGTACCGCTGACTGAAAGACTAAGTACACTTCGGAAATAAGTAGGTATACATTATATAATATTATAAAATGTTTAATTGAATCGGTCATTTCAAAAACGACTTTTTGTCATATTTCATAATTATATACTTAATTACGTATTCTGTGTAATTACTAAATTTGTCAGACTCATATTTAATACAAATGTTGAGTACAAGAAATTAAAATCACTGCAAAAACTAGCTATGAATTTTTTTGTGGCTAGTGTAAAATTTCAGTTTTGTGACTTGTGTCGTTTTTGAAATGACCGATTCAATTATAAATTTGCCTTTTTCCCCGGGAAGTGGGCTACTGTTGACTTTCATGAAAGGACCATTTTATAAGCCACTATGATGATTCAATTAATCTTTAAGGAAATTTAAAAATTACCCTATTTCGCTTGTAGTTTATGAAAAATTAAAGGAAACCTAATTTATTTAATTCGGTTTGACCATTATCCTGATTTTTAGATTTTAATTTTTTATCTAAAAAAAAAAATCAAATTGTTGTATTGAATAAACATTTTTTTAATTTTGAATGTATTAAAAAATATAATAATTTACGTTAATTATGGATTCAATTATTTGATTATCCGGATAATACAAATCTCGGGGTTTTGAATCATCCCTAAAAATCCTTACAATAATGCGCCTACCCTTAAGGGCTCAACGACTCATGGCATCAGAGGAATGTCACTTATACCGACGCTATCAACTTTACTCTCGGAAGCAGAACCTGGGTTTAGGATCTATGTCCAAGCATTCCAGACAAATAGGACAATTCGACTCTGTCGTGATTTGAATACAAGACAGCAATGATGAAGAACTAGAATCGGCACGTGCAACAGTTCTACATGGGCGGGCTAGCAGTATTACCTGACCAGTTGTAAGTATATTCGAGGAGGTTTAGTGCGAGTAGAGCCTGGTGGATTAGAGTCTTAGCAAAAACAATTTATCGACATCTTTTCCACTGCATACAATTACAAAAGTATTCTATGTCAAAATATACGAACAATTTTTTTTCACTAAAACGATTACATTGTACAAGAAAAGTTTTTTTTTTGGAACCAGTTACAAAACCCTAACTAAATCGACATTTTAATTGGAAATATTATAAAACAACCCATAAAATGTATAGTTTTATAAAATAATAATTAATTACGATTAATAATGATTTTATTATTAATATGGTTGGTAATTTGTATTATAAAAGAATAACTGTAGTCTATAAGAATGAACACTAATTTTAATTTTTAATTAAGTAATTATAGTTATCTTATATATTAAATTACTTTAACTAGTTAAAAATATATTTTATTAAATAAAAAAATAAACTATTTATCAGCTTATTAAAACAATTATTTAACATAATAAAATAAAAAAATTAATTATTTTGGCCATTGGTTTTAAATTGAAACTAAAAATAAATTTTTAATAAATTGCATATATTATCGGTCTAGTTGGAGAGCATATGTATGAAAACAAATTATGTTCACAAAATAGAAATTCTTATCTGGTTCCCACGAAACAGAAAAATTGTATTATTGTTGTATATTGGACAACTTAAAGCCCGCTTAATAACTTGCATATTATTTTCATTTAAATAATAATAATCAATTAAATTAGTCATTTGATTGGAAGAATATTTGTTTTCTGTAATACTTTGACAGTATAAAATAGGCGTGAATCATAGATATATATAGGTAGCATAAATATAAAAAAAATTTAAAATGGACGAAGAAAATGCCTTTAATTAATTCAATTAATGAAAATCTAGCAACAAACACAGGTTTAAGGTAGTGTACATTTTTAGCAACGAGTTTCAGTCAATGTGAATTCGTACAAAAAAACTTACAGTTCGTTCCATCCTCAGATGAAATGTAAATTTCAATCTACATTTACAATTTATTTAGATACATCAAAAAGGATTTTTCGAAATGTTACAAATAATAATGAATACATTAGTGTACATCGTCTTCACCTTCAAAATTATCATAATTGTTATATAAAAAAAATACATAACTAAAAAATGTACATAAAGTATCAATAGTATATTTTTTGTGTGCTCGTAGTTGGTGAAAAACGGGGAAGTCTTTGTTACGGACATCAATCCGTTGTTGCGAGTAATTTAAATAAACATAAAGAAAAGAAAGAATGTCTTCGATTAGTGTACCAAAGGCGAGTATGAATCCTTCTAATTTTCAACTCGTTCTCTTGTAAAAAGGAATTTCGTCATGTTGCATATTTTTCTTTGTGATTACAAAAAATGAAATACATTTTTCGGGGTGGACTTCAAATACTATTATGACGGTACCTCCAGCCATTGCCAAAAGAAGACCGGCGATTGGTCTGATGCTAATGCGGGGGAGAGGGCGAATAATATATTTTCATATTATAATATGTTCTTTTTTCCCCGCTTGTATTTTTTAATTTCAGACTACGGAATGAAATTGGGTGTAAAGGAAAAAGTTTAATGAACAAACACATACAAAGTACATAAAGAAAATAACCCTCTATGACGTGTTTTTTGCTTTGTTCAGCACATCATCATTATTATTGGAAAGCGGAAAAAAATCCCCCTTTTCTTTTTTAATAATATAATCTTATAAAATACCCTTAAAGCTACATAATAATTATTATTCGACGAAAAAGAAAATGCGTAACAAGATGCATTCATTAAATATTCAATTTAGTTTATTAATTATTTTTCTTATTTACTTTTACAAATAATTTTTCCATTCGGTTTCTCAAACTTAATTATGTGTTTGAGTTTGAAATTGTGTTACATCTTATTTTATGTTGCTTATGTTAAATGTTAAACATAAATATAACATTAACGGAATATATATATTCAGTTTTATCACTTTTTTTGTCGGGTTTTAAAGGAGGGGGGGGCAAAGCTTAAAACGAGGTTAACTTAAAAATTTTGATTTTAAATTGAAAAATTACGTCAATATTTTAAAAATAATTTTAACACAACACAATAGACATACTAATTTTAGAAAAAAATATTAGAAAGTATTTTGTTCGAGTTGTAGGTATATATTAGCATTATACTTTTAACTTGGTGAGAATTGTGTGTAGGATTCGTTTTCAACTGAAAATATAAGACATTTTTTTTCCTTTATAGCATATTATTAAAAAAAATATATTATATTACCTATTATTAAAAAAATCATTTTATTTGTTTCTCATATATAAATATGACAAACAAATAAAATGATTTTTTTTTTCTAACTTTCGCTCTGTTATTAAAAAAGTATAGAAACTATACATTTTCTCGCAAAAGCTGTTTAAGCTATTATAGTAGTCCTATTAATACATTTTCAAAAAAAATTGTCTTAGTTCATCTAAGACAATGTGTTATGAAAGATAATAAATAAAATAATTTGATTTTTCGCTCTCATGGTTAATTTGTAGTTGCATTTTTTACAGTCCGTTACTAATGTGTAACAACAAATATCGCATCGAAGCTAAAATTCGAGTTCATTATGATTTTGGTAGTAATAGAAACTGATATAAGTATAAGTATTGTAAACGAATGTCTAGAATATCATACATTTTAAATGGTATTATTAAATAACATTCAATAATTTTGAAATTTAGAAATTGAACAGCAATCATAAAATATTCAAATTTATCTGTACATTTGTATTCAATTTGTAAGGTTTTAATAGTAGTATTTTACTGTTTTTTTTTTATTGTCCATTTATCTTCTCTTCCATAACATTTGTCATTAACGTGTTATGTCTCATAATGTGTCCAAAAAACTCAGTTTTTCTTATTTCCATCGTTCTGATAATTTGTCTTGGTTCGTCTATCATATCTAACACTTCCATGTTCGATTTCCTTACTCTCCACTTGATCTTTATCATTTTCCTCCATGTCCACATCTCTAATGCTTCTATTCTTCTTTTATCTAGAGTGCTTAAGGTCCAGGACTCACTACCATATAACGCTACACTCCAAACATACGTTTTAATAAATAGCTTTCTAATTTTATTCGATAAGTGTCTGCTTGTTAAGAGATTTTGTTTCTTAATAAAAGCTTGCTTATCCAAAGCTATTCTTCTTTTTATTTCTGTTGTGTATTTGTTATCCTGCGTGATATGGTTCGGTGATATTGAATTGAGTCCCACGAATATTTTTGGGTTGTCGGAATTGAGTCGAACAAATATTTTTTGGTTGTTTGAGTTGAGTCCCTTCAGCCTATTAGCGTTCATCCAGGAGACACCACGTGGAGGTTGGCTGATTAGTTTCCAAAAATGTGTGTGCTTGCTTACACTGTTTATAACTGGTCAAAAAAAACTTTCAATTTTAATAATTTTTAAAAATAATTAAAATAATGTCGAATTTTAAATAGTTTCTGGTAAAAATTTAAATGAAACCGATTTCAAATTGTCAAATCTGCTAATTTGTTATTTTGATGTATGATAATCTGCTCCCGTAAAAATTGTTCTTTTTCCAATGTTTTTTTATACATGGTTTTGTTGCATTGCTTCGTATTTTTACGTAGGTATCTGACTGTATGTCCAGAAAAGTGTCAACAAGAATAAAAATATTCGGATGTCCTGAGTGAAACAATGCATTTAATTTTGCATGAAAACTTTCACAACTGATAGTTGTCCGATTAGCGCTTGCTGAAAAATCACACCAAATTTTGGGGGAGAACTGTCCAATTTCATTGTCAATGTAATTATCTAAAATGTAATCTGTGAAACTGTCAATTTTATCATCATCACATGGTTCACCATCAAATCTTCCGTGAAACATTCAACTACGTCATTTTCGTTTAAAAATGGCAATCCGAAAAAGTACTTGAGATATCTACTTTTCTCAGAATTAGACTTATATTCCTTAGACAGACCCAACTTATGAATTTTTCGCCATCAGCTTTACTTTACCAACACTCAATTCAATATAGCCTGTCCAAATTCCCTACTAATAATAGCAAAAGAGACTATGCTTACGATCTTATCTACGTAATCAATTCAAACATATTAAGATAATAAACTGGACTCAAT